TTCTTGCCTAGTTCACGAGAATAATGCTTTTACACGAGAATTATGCTGTTTTGCGTAAGAATTATGCCTAAATCTCAAACGTTTTATGCTATCTTCACGGGAATTTTGTATCTCTTCCTACAAACGTTTTCTTGCCTAGTCGACGAGAATCATGCTTTTACACGAGAATTATGCTGTTTTGTGTGAGAATTGTGGATATCATCTGCAGCATATTATGCTATCTTCACGACAATTTTGTATGTGTTCATAAAAACTTTCACCGAGAAATTCGTTTTTCTGCGTGTGTAAGTGTGTGAATGTATGGGGTGTACTTTACAGAAAGGCTCTTATCACTGAAAGAATTTTATGTAGTATACTGTGAAGAATATATATGAAGGCAGCTGTGCTTACACAGTACAGCTCGGTAGTTTGGATTTCATATGGAAAAAGCATCATTCACGTCAACAACAAAGCATTCACAAACAAGAAAGCATTTAGATAGTGATACAAAATTCGCGTGAGGATAGCATACTATGGTACAGATCATATGCATCATTCTCGCACAAAACAGCATAATTCTCGTGTAAAAGCATTATACTGGTGGAGTAGGCAAAAAACAGTTTGTATGAAGAGATACAAAATTCACGTGTAGACAGCGTGGTATACGTTTCTTGTGTGTGTGAATGTGTGTTTGTGCGGGCTGTGGTTTTTAGAAAGGGTCTTATTGTTGAAAGAATTTTATGTAGTATATATACTGTGAAGAATACATGTATTGACTTGTTTTTACACAGCACATCTCGGACGCTAGTTTGTACTTTAGACGGAGAAGTAAGTAGATGAATAAACGAACTGGTTGGGCGAAAAGCAAAAAGAATAGCAACTTACTGACTAATTGTGAAATGTGAATATCAAAGTAATACTTTTCTGTTACCTAAGCACATTGGGCGTGTAGTACTTTTGTTTTCGTGTATTGTCGTTCACTATAAAATTAGGCATGTTGAAGTAGATTGCCATTTTTTGCGGTTTTATACGGTTAAAAGTTTCGCTGCAGTGATACAAAATTCTCGTGAAGGTAGCATAATATGTTTCAGATTTAAGCATAATTCTCACACAAAACAGCATAATTCTCGTGTAAAAGCATTATTCTCGTGGACTAGGCAAGAAAGAGGTTCTATGAAGAGATACAAAATTCTCGTGGATGCAGCATCTTTCTCGTTGTGATAGCATAATTGCGGTTTGTCCATTTCTCTCCCACCCCTCATTTTTTTAACCTAAAAGCTTTCTTATTGCACTGAGTGTTTCTTCTATCCATTTCACAAGTACACCGGTACTATGAATTATGAAATCGATCCATACAAGTCTCTTGGTTGATCCACGGCTGAGCTCGAAAGTCGATCGAAAATGAAAATTAGCCTACTTTCCAATTCGATTTTCTCGTCCGATAGTGTTCCAAATGTTGAAACTATAATGCCGCTATAATACATGAACTCAATACTATTCATGCCTGAAAGCCGTTTTTTGGAGGATTCACATACGGCTCTGGAAAGGGTCTCTTAAAATCCGCTTTTTGAAGTTCACTTAATGTGCAAACACGAAAAGCAACTCCACAAAGTTATTGGAAAGCGAGGGGCACGACGACGGTTATTACGAATTCGACGCCTAATATAATTATCTTCAAAATAATCGACAAAATCTGTTAAAAGAAAATTAACCATGTTCGAGTTTTAGTTGTATAATCCGTTAAACTACGTACCGTTTATCGAATCAGGAGATTCATCTTGAAATCTCTCAAATTCTTCTACAACAAAAGCTTCCGGTACAAAGGATAAACAAGCAAAATTTTTTAAGTAACGTCGAACTTCGCGATCATTCTCCATAAAGCTTGTTTAAAATGAGGAAAACATCCGCTGATTGTTGTTGTTGGTAATTTTTGTTTAATAACATTTTCGACAGCTTGCTCAAAGTCAGTTGTAATTGATTTTGGATGTTTGTTGACATTTTGTACCAAAACATTAAATAGTTCACCATAAACGGCTTCAGATTTACCAGGAAGAAGAGCATACACCAGTGGTACAGAACGCCCACGAATAAAACCATGTATTATATATAATTGATAAATAAGTTGTGGAGCTATCTAGAAAAACAGGTTATATGTTTAAAAGAAAAGTATATGTTTAAGTGCTTGTTCTTAAGCTAACCACAAATCTACTTAAACTTACCTTGAATGTACCATCAGCATGCCAATGTTCAGAATTTGATAAACGGTTTAAGTCATCATCAGAGGATAATATAATTGTTCTGTAGTCACTGTCTTCATTATCATATAATAAAAACCGATCACCACCATTGGTTACTGTTAATTGCTGCAGAATACTTATATCTTCGATTGATGTTGGTGTTGGTAATGGTATATTTACAACTCGTTAGGAAGCCAAATTCAATTTTAATCAACTCATTATTAAAAAATTTATAATAATTAAAATTTTAATCAATCAATCAATTAGTCTGTTCGTTAATAGTGACATCGAACTTAGTCATTAATGCCTATCTGCGGCAGGCTCAAATGTCGAAGGCTCACGTATCGGGAGGCTGAAATGTCAAGAGCTCAAGTGTCGGGGCTCAAATGTCAGAGGCTCATCTGTCGGTGTATCCTTCAATATCATGTAGCTTTATATACCTACAAATCCAAACATAGTTCATCAATTTATTTTTTTTTGCGGCTGATCTTGGTTTAATATGATCAAAAAACTTTACCGTCGTCTGTGTTCAGTCTATAGTGTTCAGATAATACGCCAGTCGCTTTTTTATGCTGCTGATCCTGAAAGCAAAAGTATTATAAGATAAAGAAAAGCTCTACCAGTGATATTTATGTAAACTTGCTCTCTGTCGTAATCTCTACATGTCTAATAAACTTATCTCATAAAACCATGAATGTATTACCGCATCACTCGACGATACCTCTCAAATATCACATTCGACATAGAACTAAGATAAAAAATTCAATTAATGATGTGATACATTCTAGTACAATGTGGTCATGGAATCATCTAAGAAACGTCTCGCTACTATTGAGAAGCGTGTCGAGATCATATGGTTCACGGTACGAATAAACCTAAACGTCATTCCTCGAATCCAGTTCCTTAAACGCATTCGACGGTCAGCAGACTTAGCTCCTTCTGGATGAACCTGGCCATTTTTTCTTATGATCCAGCGTTTGGCATCAGTGTAAACGAATTGATATACACGAACCTTCTAAAACGTAATCAGCAGATTGGATTTCTTTTAAAGGAACCACCCCTAAAGCATTTGATTCAACGCCAATTTTACTCCCCGATTTTTACCCCCGGCGAAATACGGCGACCATTAGAGCAACCTCAACCATCAATTACATTACCATTAATTCCACCGACCCCCACAGTAGCCAAAAAATCACCGTGTTTATATACATATGTTTGAAACTGAAAAACGAATCACATTACAAGACTATCATTTATTAATGACGGATAAACAATCACAAGGACTTCAAATAAAAGAATCTTTAGCCATAAAGAGCTTAAATTCTACCCTAAACAAGACAGCTGCATCAACACCCCTCTACATTTACCCAGTAGGTATGCCCGCAATCTTCCTACCTGATCCTGGAGGTTATAGAAAAAAGAATCAAAAAACTTTTTAACACAAAAAACTGCAACAGACATTTCACAGTAACAATAAATAAGTGGTATGAGTTCTCTGTATTACTAGCTTTGTAATCGTTTTTAATAATTTTGTTTTCAATAGTTGTTTTGTTTTCAAGATGAGGGTCTCGAAACCGAAAATATGTCGGTTCCGTCTCGCGATCAGAAAATACTTTTTGGTGTGGAACCCTGAACTACAGTTTTCAACGAAAAGTTTTCAGAAAAAGAGATCCTTCAAGTTTTCTGAATATTTTTCACTGATAATGTGAACTTGGAAGGCTAAAAGTCAGATATTCTTGATCAGCGTGAAATTCTCTATCGAATGATAAATGCGTAAGCCAAAAATAAAATAGTGCTATAACTTTGAATTTGAAGCACTTTATGTCGGCATGGATACCAATACCGGTACATACCTAGCCCACACAAAACACATATAGATCTAATAGATCAAACGACAGCTCTTTAAATCTACATCAGTTGCATAAAAACGTGCTAATATTCATTGGACTAAACGAAATACTTCAATGTCAGATGTTGTGAAGTTTGAATCTCCAGTAAATGTCTTCTCGCTTTTGCCTTTTGTATCCATATACATGCACGGAAAATTTGTGTAGCTGTCACTATTTTCATTGCTGTCATTGAGATCAAATCCACCTCCAAATGCTGGTCCACAACCAGCACGATGTCGAACAGCATACTTACTTTGTTGCGGATCAACGTGATACTTTCTTGGTGGTATACTGTGTGGATTAGACAAAGTGAACAGAAATGATGATGCATCTTCTTTCCATCCTCCATCACTCTTCCACGGTACTCGTGTATATCCTCCAAACAAATATCCATTCTTGGATCTGATAACCGTCACTGTTGCACCTTGATCATTACATCGATCATGAAAGTCTTTAGCACCAAAACCGTCTCTACTAGCTCGATAAATCAACTGCCACCGCTGATTGCTCTTTCCATAGAACTCATTCACTTTCAACTGACGTTCCTCACTCAACCAAGACGTTTCATCAAATAGAGTCACAGTTGTGCGCTTTACTTTTTCGATACGTTTTCCCGGTGCCTTCTGTGTTGACAGAACACTGCTTGTTTCTGTTCCTATGACGTCGAGTACGGCGGACCAGTCAATACTCTCACTTCTTATTTTGATGACAACGAATGGTGTTTGTGATGCTCAACTTCAACTGTTCAAGCTCAGCTGTGAGTTTGCCCAAGTCAGGCTCGACGTAGTCATCATTGACTTTTCGATGACGAAGTTCTTGTGATAGTTGTTCGAAGTCTCGTTGCAGCTGAGATCTCGACTTCTGTATTAGTTTGTCCACTCTCTTGCGAGCATTGTCGGCTGTTAGTCTCACTTGTGCGATGGTGGTCTCTTCCCATCGATCGATATCTGTGAATGGAGAGTCGTTCACTGTCGTAGAGGATGGCGAAGGATAGAACTGTTGATAGAGTAGATCTCGATCACTGCAGATGCGATCAAATGTCAGACTGAGTAGTTGACGATGCTTCGTGAAATGTTCTTGACAGAATCTGTCAGAGCAACCATCGCATTTGATCATGCCATTCTTTTTACATCCATCAGTGGAGCATCTGTAGGTTGTCGGTTGTGTCATGCTGACACGTCGTAACAAGAGAAGAAAAAGAAAATATGTGAATGATTACTTACTTGTGCTGCTGACAAGTAGAAAGTCTCTGTTTTAAATTTGTAAATTAAAATGTTTGTGTTTGCACATAAATGAAAAGAATTGACAGATTCTTTTCGTTCTGTTTGTTGACACTATGGTAGACAGAACAGAACACGTGGTCTGTAATGCGAGTGTGCACTGAATGACGAGTAATGACTAAAGGGAGAAGGAACGTGAATGTAACACAAGTTGTATTGCTGAAGTTAAGTTTTCATGCTAGATAGACACCAGAGCTCCGTATGGACTGGACTGAGCCCAGAGTCCATAGTCCAGTCCAGTCCAGTCCAGTCTACATAGACTGGACTCAAACTCTCAAGACCATAGACTCGTCTGGACTGGAAAAAGTTTGGATGGACTTGAATCGAGGAAGAATCGGTAAACGACAAGTTGTTTTTGTTTTGTTAAAGGCGATTCTAGAATACTAATACAGAAGGAAAAGAAATAACAGAATAAAAGTAGATTCTAAAAATGGTTCGAGAAGAATTAAAGATACACCCACAAGGATGTGTTAGTCAAAGAACTAAGATAAAAATGAAATAACCCATATCTCTCATTTTCTAATCCTTTTTACAATTTACTTTTATTCTGTTATTTCTTTCCCTTGTCTGTTAGTATCATCGTGTGTTCCGTTTAGTTTAACTACCGTCATACGGACTATTTCATATGTTCGTTTATATGTACAAGTTTTGTGTATAAATAGCATCTCTCTTTATAGCTCTCTGTTTATGCTCTGCATTTTTCTGATGATGAATTAGACTGTTCGAAAGCTTAAAAACGAAGATGAAAAGTAAATATTAAAAATACACTACTATATAAAAGGTGGCCCAGAAGTCCTCTCTCATTTAATATTTTCTCAAAATTTCGGTCAAGTTTGATCGCCAAGTCTCAATCCTTTCTTTTAAAAGAAACCTCATTTAATTCTCTAAACAAAACATATTGAACATTTCTTTATATACTATAAGAATAAAAAAATACAGAGAAAACATGGGAAAGTTTCACTATCGATTACTTTCAAACCTAAAGCGTAACCGAAAACTATTTATTTTGAACACAGTGCTATGCATCAAAGTGGAATCGAAATGTATTTTCTGGTGCTCCAGAATATCAGCTTTCTTTTCTTGTATCATAAATTCGCTACAAACCTTTTTTCCTGTCACAAACAAAGATTTTACTAAAAGTAAAAAAAAGAGGGGAAAGTTTGATTTCTTCGCCCTTGGCACAGGAAACGAAAGGGGGCTATTCGACTTTCTCTGTTCGGATGGAACAGAAAAACCATTTTACTTCAACATAAAGCAGATCTAAAGTCATAATACGTGATTTCGACCAAATCACAAAAATTTGGCTAAGGGTCACAAAACTGCGGTTAGCAAATGATGATTTGAGGCAAAATCCCTAAAAGAAAACAAATCTCCCGCGATCGCTGGAGCCTATGAAGAGTCTTAAATATAGCCAGTCCAATATTTTCTGCAATACCATAAAACCGAAGATTTGTTCTTCTATTGTAGGTTGATAGATCATCAAAAGCAATTTATAATTTATTTAGCTGAATTTCCAGTTCATCAACTCTTTTTACAAATGGAACAATAGCTTTTTTAATGATTTGTGAAATACCTTTTAACATTACATCAGACTGAAGTACTTCTCGAACTAATTCTTCAATATTTATTTGAGAATCATTAAGTGCCTCAGTACCTTTTGACGTATGACCTCTTGTAGGAATTTTAGCCGGCATGTTGAGGGTAAAATAGCAAAATTTTAACTTACAACAAAATACGTAGCGTGATGACGAAGGAAAAGATGTATACTAAGAAGAACAGACAGACAAGGTGTTAACTGTGATGAAAAATAAAGTAGAATGAAATGACCTGAAATTTTCACCATTCGGTTCAGCTTGCTGAGCTCTATAATACGAGACAGCTCCCAGCACTGACGGAAAAGGTCGATGTAAATGGTGGTCGGTTTTATATGGATTTAGCCTATCCGTCAATGACGAAAACATTACTCTACAGTAGTATTTCTAGTGTTAGAATACCCGCGCCCCATTTGTTCTCAACATTATATATATCATTCTGTAGCCCGTGAAATTCTCTATCGAATGATATATAAAGTGGCGTGGTTAACGGTAAACAGGCTGGACAATATAAGCGATGAACGCTGTTGACCTATGAATTTGCGGAGGTTGGGGCTAGTATTTCTAGTGTTAGGACGCCCACGCTCCATTTGTTCCCAACATTATATATATCATTTTGTAGCCCGCGAAATTCTCTATCGAATGCTGCACAGTAGTTGAGGTTTGCTTTGAGCAAAGAGAAGAAATGGGAAAATATTCGAAATAAAATTCATTTAAGGGAGAAAGTTTGGATGCGGAATTTTATCCGGAGAAAAACTACATCGGACTTGTGAATATGAGCTTGATCTGAGATGGGGTCGATTTTGCCGCTTATCGACCCGCATCCTTTTGATTTTAATCTTGATCAATAATCCGACATCGTAAAAAGTTTAACACAATCATCTTGTTCGTAACAACATACTATTAAATACATGTATGTGTACTTTAGAAAATATGTCTTATTTTAATTCGAGATTACAGTTTTTATCACAGTACCGTATGCTGACCGTTTTCGTTTTGTAAACAATTGTCAACAACAATTTCACAAAGTTTTCAACTTAAATCACCAAGTATTTAATCAGCGATACGTAGTTCTGCAGTTGATTAACTTATTTCTAATCCCAGTAAAAATTAGTCTTGTAGTCTACATGGTACGACTGAAAAGCAAAAGGCGACTGGAAACGCCGTTCTCACATACTCCTTAAGGTAGATCCTGAATGACTGATCGCCCTTTAGCGTTGTGAGTTTCTTACTGATAGAAGAAAACTAGTATAAAAAACTCTTAGCCATTTTAAACAGCCTAAACTTTCAGTAGAAGAATATGCAAGTCGGGAGACGACCGAGGGTTCTAGGGATGAGAACATATTTGCATTTCTTGTCCGGTCAAGACAAGTGACACATGAAATATAGTTTTTTGCTAGCCTCTGAAGAATAATTCGAAACTGGTCAGGTTAATAAAATATAAAGAAAACTTCGAACTCATTCGGAATAAATTAGTTTAAATCAGTTTAGTTAAAACAAATGTAAATTAATGTTTTTTCTAACTAATTGGAACTAGTTTTAGCCTAGAAATTAAGTCTAGTTCATTTTAACTGCGAAATTGATGTAAATTAATGTACCACAAACGAATTCAAATTAATATGGCCTCTTAAATTGATGTGAAGCAATTTTTCATCTTGTTTTGGGTCATGAATTAGTTTGAATTAATTTGAAAGTATTTAAAAGTTCCAATGGGAGGCCCAGCTACTCTATGCCCTAGAACGATTAGAATTACTTTATAAGAAAGAAATTTAAAAAATACCACTAAATGTCCCGTCACCATTGTTTTCTTATACCCTCATAATAGGTCGCTCAACTGAATCTAAAGTTTCAGTATAAAGGTTTTAAAATATGGCGAATCTAATGGCAGCCATGATTTGATATATAGTAGTTTAAAAAAGGATTTCCTGGTGCCCCAGATTTCCAGAAAACGAGTGCTATTTTGTGATAGATTTTGGGCTCCAGATATATAAATCTAGCTTCTCTTAAGGAACTCAGTATAGTTTCATAGATAGTAAGCTTTTTCTCGGTAACATAATCAATCTTCCGGTAGTTTCTATGAAGAGAAAAGCTATGGGCGTGAGATCAGAGACCTGAATTTTGGGTGTGTGTGGACGGGGGGGTGCGTACCCCCCAAAAATTTAAAAGAACAGTAACAAGGTACTTATTTAAAATAAAGTTTACACTATCTCGGACAAAAAACTTTCGTTACACCCCCCAATGTCCGGCACCTACTCAGGTCCCTGCGTGAGATGTGTATGACGTTAGAGCGAATGTTTTCTAAATTCAAGAAAACAAAGAAAAGGTTATTTGCAGACCCAGTTTTTCTAAGACTAGTAAGCACCTACTATCAATTTATGGTACCCAAATCTTCGAGAGTTCTTCAAAACAAATTAGACCACGAGACCAATCGTCGTCCATATTTTCGTTGAAAGTTGCTCGAAACAAACAAGCAAAGTTGTAGTAATTTAGATGTAAACGTTTGGAGTGTTGTAGAAATACATCGTCAATATACTTTTTGTTATTTGATATTAAGTTGAATTATAATGATGAAATAACGTCTATTTCAACTTTCCTGTTTTTATACGTGAATGAATAATGCTCAATTACTGACTCATTCGACGACACTTATCTTATTTATTCACCTTTTCCCTTTACTTCATCTTCTTTTCTTTAACACTGCAATCAATTTTTTTTCTTCTGTAAAAGGCTAACAAGAAAAGCTCACATTATATGACGTAGTGCGTCAATGGAGAGAAACAAAAACAACGAAAATATTGTTTACTGATACAAAAAGATGAAAAAATGCTACTTGAATAAAGAAGGTGAATAAATTAGATAAGTGTCGTCGAATGAGTCAGTAATTGAGCAATATTCATTCTCGTATAAAAACAGGAAAGTTGAAATAGACGTTATTTCATCATTATAATTCAACTTAATATCAAAATTCGAATAACAAAAAGTGTATTGACGATGTATTTCTACAACACCCCAAACGTTTATATCTAAATTACTACAACTTTGCTTGTTTGTTTCGAGCAACTTTCAACGAAAATATGGACAACGATTGGTCACGTTGTCCAATTTGTTTTGAAGAATGGAATATGATTCATCGACCGACAACATTTGTTTGTGGTCACACTGTCTGTATTGAACACTTGACATGTAGAGAACCATTACGAGAATGTATGTATTAATGATTATTCACTACTGTAATTAACTACGAGTGTTTGCAGGTCCTATGTGTCGAGGCCGTTTACCAATTCTGAAAGATCATCAAACATGGCATGTATCATATGCACTCGAAGAGGCTGCACGAACTTTTCGGCGAATGAAAGATGCCACTGGTAATTCAGCAGTTGAAACAAGTACAGGTAAACCGATGCTTAAGTTGGCAAATGAGATAGATACAGCTCGTGAAAGACTAATAGCTGATGATGAAGCATATGCAAGAGAACTGGAACGAGCCGACAAAGAATTAGTACAATTAGAACAGCGACGCCGAAAACAATCGCCGAATCCTCATTTGACTAAGCAACGAACAGAAAATGCAAAAGGCTGTGGTCATTCATGTGATTTGATCACGACGCGGCAATGCTGTGCTTGTTCAGATCGACGACCTGTTTTACCATATTATAATGCCTACGTTGATGGAGTAGGGAATGTCTCCAGAGCCAGACGAAATGAGTTTTATTGTCCCTCATGTAAAGTCCGATAACGGTCCGATACTTGTACGCAGTGTTTCCAGGTACTCTGTTGGAAAAAGTTCCCGTATGTCCCGAATCGAATCTGAGATTCAACTTTTTCTGCCTTGGTTTTTTCTGCTGTATTCCTCGGATTCATGATTTGAACGTTACAAAACTGAATCATCTAACTTACAGGAGTATACAGCCAACGGAAGATTAATTTAGTAGAACAAGAGGTAGAAGAAGCATAAATTTATTTCAAAAATCTGTTTATATCTCTATTTTATCTTAGCAACCTCATTTTATGATTATGTCGACAGACATTATGAGTGTTTGCAGAGAATTTTATTTTTTACTTTTTTGTATGGTCATTTTTTTGTGATATACGAACGTGATGATTTAGAGAACAACGCATTGTAGAGCATTTCTGGAAACGGGAGATTGTTTTTGGACATTGGAGATTGACCATTTATATCCCTTTTTCGAAAACGGTCTGGGTTCATCTCCTTAAGGTTCAGAAGTGCATGATCTAGAGAACTAAGCTACGTAGAAAAGTTTGGAAACTGGGTAATGGTTCTCTTAGTATTGAAAATCCTTACACGAAAAAACATTAAAAAAACCGGCTAAAAAACGATTGAAAACGGTTGCTATTTCAGCAAAAAAACCGCAGCCCCTAAACCGCAGATTTGCGACAAAAAAACCGCTTCAAACCGTCATAAACCGCGCATGAGACGGTTTGTGTTTTGAATCGAACAGACGGTTTCAACCGCGGTTCTATGTGACTCATAACCGTTCGTAAGCGCGGTTCGGTACCTCGTAAAAAAATCAGTCGTTAACCGCCGAAAACGCGGTTTCTAACCCTTTCAAATCGGTGTAACAGGCTGTGAATTGAAGCCATTTAGCAGGCCAAAACCACGGTTCTTCTCGGTTTACAACCATCGCCGACCGTGGTTTCAATAGTGAAAATGCTGCCGATTTCTCTTTGCCAAACGCGGTGGTTTCTATTGATATACAACCAGGGGTTGTGGAGCAAAATTTCTTACCATTTCGCTGTTCTTAACCGCAATTTAGCGCTGTTTGCAGCCAGTTCAAAATTGATTTCAGTCAATGCTTGACGGTGTATCGTTGTTTTCAAAAATATATTTAAGTTCAGTTGTAAGCACAGAGAAGAGAAGAAATATATACAATAATTTAGATACGTGCACACAGGAACAACGAAGAAAAGAAGAAATAAACAGAGTTTGTTTACAAACAGTTCCTATCTCGTAGTCGTAGACCCATCGCAGTTTGCGACAACGGCCACGAATATATTACGTTCATTTAAGAACTTTGGATTCTGTTTGGAAATTGCCATACTTGTGTTATTAAACCGTTGATCTGTCTATAGACAAGTTCTTCACAAATTTTAGATGGAGAGATCAGTGAATGACTGTCAGTTTTTCGTATAACGTAAATATTCTTCATC